TCTTCTTTTTAAAATGTTTTATTTTAAAGTAATCTTTAGATCCAATGTGGGGCTCGAACCTACAACCCTGAGATCAGGAGTCAGCCAGACACTCCCTTATAACAGCATTATTCTCAGTAGCCAAAAAGTAAACACAACCCAAAGAGCCATTGGTTGACGGATTAATATACAAAATGTGGCATATGCAAACAAAAGAATATTATTCCAGAGTGGGCCAATCTATAGAAACAGAAAGTGAATTAGTGTTTGCCTAAGACTAAGGGATATGGGTGGGGAGGGGCATCTGTCTAAAATTAACAAAACTTTAGACTTGGGTTCTGGGTATTTCATCTACTATGTAGTCTGTTGTGTGTGGCTTTTACTTAGCATAAGGTCAAGGTTTATCTGTTTCGTAGCACAAATCAGTACTTCATTCCTTTCATTGCTGAGTAATACATTCCTTTGTGTGAATAAAACCAGTCCTTATCCATCCGTGTTTCTCCACACCCTCCTGAATACTTGTTATTATGTCTCTTTTTGGTTTTAGCCATCCTGGTGAGAGTGAAATGATACCTCCTGGTGGTTCTGATTTGTATTTCCCTGATGGCTAATGATATTAAGTATCTCTTCATGGGCTTCTTGTCCATTTGTATATATCTTCTTTGGAGAACTGTTTGTTCACATAATTTTTGCTTATGGCCTGAGGTTGGGGCCCAAATTCATTCTTTTGCGTATGGATATCTAGTTGTCCCAGCACCATTTGTCAAAAAGACGATTCTTTTCCCACTAAGTTTACATTAGCGCCCTGGTTGGAAATTAATTGGCTATGAGTGTGAGGGTTTATTTCTGGTCTCTCGATTTTGTTTCATGGATCTTTATAGGTCTATCCTTCTGCCTTTACCTTACTGTTTTGATTACTATAGCTTTGTGTAGTCCGTTTTGTAGTTGGGAAAACTTCTTTCTATTCCAGATTGTTTTGTCTCTTCTGGATGCCTTGAATTATCATATGAATTTTAGGATGAGCTTGTTAATTTCTGCACAGAAGAATGAGAATGATGAGGGATAGGGGTGCCTGGGTGTCTCAGTCAGTTGGGCATCTGCCTTCAGCTCTGTTGTGGTATCTGGTTGGGGTGTCCGGGTTGTGGGAATACCAGAGGAAACTTGCAAAAGTAGTTTCAGAAATTCAAAGAAATTTGAAGAAACTTTTGTAATCTGACACTTACTGCATGCCTCCTTCCCTTTGACTGCTGAGTCTATAACCACCAGCCTCACACAGCCCAAGTGCCGTTCTTGCTGCCCAGGGGTCCTGTCCCAGTGCTACTTAAATAAACTTACTAAGTTGCACTGTCAGCGGTTCTTTCTTGACTGTTGCATTCAACACCCCTGCGTAAGTTTTGGTGGCCTATACAGGGACACCACCAAAAGGAATTTGGGAGATTCAGTACAGCTGGGTAAGTCTTCTTCATCCCCAGTCTTTGTTACCTGTTCTTTTTCGGAGATGTCCAGAATAATATGACCCTTTGGAATGTGACTTGTCCGAGTGCTCAGGAGAGAACCTCCTTCCTGTGGCTACACTCCAGGGAGTGACAAACGCCTGCCACCCGGCTGGACACTAGTACCTTGGCTGTAACATTGCTGGGCTCAGGCTCTCCCTGTTTTACCCATTCTTTCAATACTCGTATTCTTCTTGGGCACAGGATGGCCATACATGTCATCAGGACGGCTGCCGATCTTGACTCTCACATAAGGTTCCCTCCTAAATAACCCGGTGTGACCCCTCCATGAACATAAAACCCAACATACATCTGACCCTGTGCTTCCTGGAAGGGACCAGTGGGAGCTGTTACCCAGTTGGGGCCTTTGCCCAACAGGGCGCCACTCAATCTGAGTGCAGGACCCGGAATGCCAAACAGCCCATGGGTAAGGACAAATGAGAGACCCGAAGAAACAAAAGTATGGAACCCCTGTCTAATCCGGGCGATTTTCGCAGGGATCCATGATCCCGTCCCGTAGGAGTGGGCGCCACCCCAGAGGGCCTGTTTTGTATGGGCCCCGCCTTCTTTCCTGTCAACAGGTTGCTGCCAAGATCCTGCCCACGCTTCCCTCTTTTTCCCATGTCACTTGCTGCCTCTTTGTTTGCTTCTTATTTTGGGCACTGGATCAGAATTGTGTCTTGAGAGGCCTGGATGAACGTTGTCCATTGCCTTGTGTGTGGGGACTTCTCCCTCATTCCTTCCGGGCTGACGACTCTCAGCGGCCAGCTTTCTGTGGTTAGTCTGCCTCCAGACATGGACTTTCAGGAGCCTTCCCAAGCAGCTGATGACGCTTGTCTTGTTTCGAGGAGGTTCCCTGTATTCTCTGACTGCACACGGACTGCCTGTTTTCACTTTCTGTGGGTGGAAAGAAAATGTGCATCTGCTCTTCTGTCCGAGCTGATGAGCCTTAGGACCCAGAATTCTCTTCTGTTTGGGCTTTTATCCGCCTCAGGCCTTTGGGCCTTTTGGCAGCACCTCTGTTCTTCTGCCTCCCCTTCCCTCTCCTGTTTCTGCACCACCCTAGGAGGGGCTTAATAACCAGCTCCACTTAGACCTCTGTGCCTCTGGAGCCATTGGCTCTTGCCTCTTGGGTCCTCGCTGTGGAGGAGCAAAGACCACCCCAAGCTGTTGCACCATTCCAATCATAGTGTCTCCCTGATCAGCATGAAGGGGCCCAAGGTTCCCTGGGACTGAAGCCTCCCCCTTCAGCTGTCCCCACCCATGCCCCAGGCAGAACTGACAGTGGGGAACACATCGACTGACTTTCAGTGCGCACAGGGGCAATGTATTCTGTATTAACACTGATTTAGGTTTGTTGGTTTAATTAAAACGGTCGTGTCTTTGGAGTTATCAGCGTGAAATGTAACTTTCACTTTACCAAGATTTACTAAAGGTCAGATAAGCTCCTGTTATCTTTGCTGTAATTTGTCCACAAAAGATGGGTTAAAATGTTGGTTAATTTCACCTATCTCCTAAAGCTTTCATGGGTAATTGTTAAGAACTAGGAGGGTGAGTAAATACAAGGTTTTTTAGGTAGGGGCGTCTGGGTGACTCAGTCAGTTAAATGTCGTCTGTTGATCTCAGTCAAGATCTTGATCTCACCGTCATGAGTTCTAGCCTCACATTGGGCTCCATGCTGGATGTAGAGCCTACTCTAAAAAAAAAAAGAAAAAAAAAGGTTTAAAGTTAAACTTTTAAATGGCTTTCAAAATCTTTGGAAACCTGAACCTTTAAAGTTTGCTGAGTTAAACAATCAATTGGATTGAATTCATTGGTAATCCAGGTCTTCTCTCTAACAAAACAATATACTAAAGCATTGTTTACTGAACACAGGTTTGTGCTTCTGGCTTCTTGTGGACAAACTGACAAGAGTTGTTTTCCTTATCATTTCCATCAGCCTTAATTACATTTAACAGAATTTTAACTTAGAAGCCTTAGTCTCCAATGAAAATTAAGTAGTAAACAATTGTGAACCGTCTGCTAAGCCAAAAAATTTTTTAAAAGATTTTATTTATTTATTTGTCAGAGAGAGAGCAGGGGGAGCGGCAGGCAGAGGGAGAAGCAGGCTCGCCACTGAGCAAGGAGCTTGATGTGGGACTCGATCCCAGGATCCTAGGATCATGACTTGTGCCTAAGGCAGACGCTTAACTGACTGAGCCACGTACACGTCTCTACCCCAGAATTGTTTAGATTGGCAATTTATAAGTACAGTTCATAATTTCTAGAAACATGTTTTCCCCTAGCACAGTCTTTCAGTAAAGCAATAAAGCATGTTTACCAACAGACTAATTTCTGTATTTAGGAAAGTAGGAAATGTGTAAGGAAGGTATAAGAAATGAGAATATATTTTGTTGAGGGGGAAAAAAAGTAATTTTGTCCCCAAATGGGATTGGTTATTTAGAGAGGAAAGGCTTATGATTAAATCTGAATGAAAAGAAAGTTGTGGAAGGTATGTGAAGGCAAATCTTTGTAAAGGGCTTTGTGTGGTGTCAGAACTAAGATTGAAGTAATTTTTTTTTTTTTTAAGATTCTATTTATTTGAGGGAGAAGGAGAAACACTCCCCACGGGGCTCAATCCCAGGACCCTGATATCATGGCCTGAGCCAAAGTCATACACTTAACTGAGCCATCCAGGCACTCCAAAATAAATGGATTTTAAAAGCACACTAGTATTGGGGCACCTGGGTGGCTCAGTTGTTAAGCGTCTGCCTTCCTCTCAGGTCATGATGCCAAGATCCTGGGATTGAGCCCCAAATTGGGCTCCCTGCTCAGTGGGAAGCTTGCTTCTGCCTCTCCCATTCCCCTTGCTTGTGTTCCTTCTCTCGCTGTGTCTCTGTCAAACAAATAAAATCTTAAAAAAAAAAAAAAGTGCACTGGTGTAAGATTGATATTCTGCTTTTCTCTCCATGAAAAAGACCGTTTTCTTAGATTGTTGTTGTTTGGCTCATGATAAGAAATTGTAAATAAAGGCTTATTCCTCTTTACGTGCCTGGAAAACCGAAGCTTCTGTGTTTTTGTCTTTATCAGATCTTTGATGACTTAAGAAAGTTAAAAATTCTCCGAAAAAAAAAAAAAAAAAGAAAACTTCTCAATATTAAAAGAGCTAAGTTTTGCTAACAACTGTAGAACCATCTATGGACTCTTACTGTCAGCAGAGTTTAGTAAATCCTGAGTTTCATAGTAATCTGTGATCCTACTGAGGCATGTACATCAAAGCTTCCCAAGATTCAAATTCTAAGTCCTTTTGACTCATTAGGCTGGCTTATGTGGTATGTTAAGTTATTTGGGAAGCACTGTCAAAAAAATGATGATAAACCTTGGGTTCTTTTGTTTGGGTAAATGCTGTTATAACTGTTGTAGAAATTATGTGAAATTCCTCGTTTTACTGTGTTCTGGTATGAGGTCGTCACTTGACCCTCTGAGCTTTAACACACAGCAGCCACCAACAGCGTCTCTTCTGTTGAACACCCGCCCCCCCCCCGCCAGGCACCCCAGACACAATGGCCCTGGTGTCTGCTGATTCCCGCATCGCAGAACTTCTCACGGAGCTCCATCAACTGATCAAACAAACCCAGGTAAGGAGCTGCGGGCCGGGGAGGGCGTTTACAAACTTTGGACATGCAGGGACCCAGCTGACCGGTGGACCAGGAGGGGAGGAAAACGTGGGGTGTGACCTGCATTTTCCTTCAGCGGCAGGACGTCCTGATCCTCTCTGTTCCGTTAACAGCTGTAATGAGATAGGAGTTACATACCGTACGGCTCACCCATGATTCCAGTGATTTCTAGTATATTCACAGAGTTGGGCCACCATCCCCATGATCAGTTTCCGAACATTTTCGCCATCTGACAAAAATGCCCTGTACCCACCACTGCCCTCCCCTTCTCCGTCCGCCGCTTTGTCCCAGCCGAACAAAGACCCCCTTAGCAGGCAGGATATGCCAGGAGTGGAGAGGTCCCATTCCAGGAGCTAGTCAGGGGCCTTGTTTGGAACGAGGTCTGAAAAGACAGGCCTGCTGAGTTTATCTTTCACTGCACAGCTGCCTGGCCCCGGCCTTGGCCTTGGCGGCAGAGTGAGCACAAGTCTGCCGATGGTGGAGGAGCCAGTGTGGGCCAGGGAGAGACTGTGAGAAACAAGCAGTCCGTCCCATCGGGCCCGCATACACGTTTTCATAATTTATACTAATCTAATCTAATTACCCATTTCCCTGCTTCATCCAGTACTGCTCATGCTCTGTAATACATTTGTGTGAAACTATTCAGCATAGAAATTAGCTGATGGCGCGCTGAATCTGGTTCTTCCTGGGCCAGTCAGAGGAGGCTGCGGCTGCTGCTCCCAGCATGTTTGCTTGTTAATACCAGTATCAGGTGACTTCTCGGCAGGAGGCCGCTGAAGCTTACCGGCCTTGCGGGTGTGTTACCGGGCTCAGCTACGGTCATGGCAGAGCTCAGTTTCGTTACAGAGCAAGTCAGGAAGAGTTACAGAGCTATTTGTTATGCTCTCCCAACAGAATTGGCCTTGCCCTTTTACCAGATAATTGTTATGAACAATATTTTTTCTTCACAGTATTTGCTTTATTCCAGTTGGCCATGATTCCGTTATTTCTGGGTTCTTAGTCAGCGGGGGATAAAGCCAGTCGCCGGTCCCAGCTCACAGGCTTGTAGTGAGACAGCTTTTCATTGTGTGTTCTCCAGGGCCCTGTTCCTACCTAGCGGGGCCCCCAGTGGTGCTCCAAGTAACAGTCCCGTCTCTGCCAGCTATAGCTCAGGATGTCCTGTATTGATCTGTTCTTGGGTCAGGGCAGCCACAGCTCATTGATCTAAATTACAAGTGGAGCCCAACATGGGGCTTGAACTCATGATCCTGAGATGAAGACCTAAGCTGAGATCAAGAGTTGGATGCTTAACCGACTGAGCCACCCAGGCACCCCAACCAGGTTTATAGGTACCCAGTGACCCGTCTCGTGGGAGCCGTCCACTGCACAGTCCTGTGGCCCAGAATGGAGCAGTCCTGGAAATGCCTTCCCAAATGATGTCTTTTGTAGTGGGATGTAACCTGAAAAGTAAGGGCCGGAAGATACTGGCATACATATTTCCGGGGCCTGAGGCCCCGGGTGCCGGGTGACACAGCAGGACAAGGAGCTTGTCCACCTGACCTGTTGCGCTTACCCCTGCAGGAGGAGCGCTCTCGGAGTGAGCACAACTTAGTGAACATCCAGAAGACCCATGAGCGGATGCAGACAGAGAACAAGAGTAAGTCACTGGACTCAGAAGAGAAGGGGAGGACAGAGAGGGGTGGGCTGAGACCGGGAATGCGACTGTCACTAGTTTCAGACGGGCCTTTTCCGTGAAGCTACATAATCCAAAACGAACTGCTCCTTAACCACAGGGACAATCTCCCTTCAGTTAAGTGACCAAAGGTGTCTCCGGGAACAGATGACAGACTGCCTAGCACTCAGGAACCTTAAAGTCCCCCAGTGTAGGGGCTGGGAAGTCAGTGTTAAGCCTGCATCCAGGGGTACCTCTTTGCACAAGCGCCCCAGTTAGTTGGTGTTCTCTAGAGGGAGAACTTCTTCCTGGCATCCCCCGCGCACGCCCCAGAAGCCCTCCTGCTCAGCCTCCTGGGCTGGTGCTCTCCCATTCTGAGCAGCTTTGAGAGCTGTTGTCTGTTTTCCTGTGTGCTGAGAAATACTTTCTGCGTGTGTCACACTAGGGCAGAAGTCCTCTGCCAGATGCAGTGATAGTATTTGTGCCGAATGAAATTGTGAACTCATTAAACACGGGGCAGCGACCGCGGGGCACTTCCAAGCCACCACAGCTCACGTCCCGGTCCGTGGCCTCTGCACGCCTCTGGAAGTCCGACCCTCATGCATGGAAGCAGCCCCACAGGACCGCCAACTGGCCCCCTGCCCACCTCTTCCTCTGTTCGCTTGCAGTCTCTCCCTATTACCGGACAAAACTACGTGGGCTGTACACGACCGCCAAGGCTGACGCAGAGGCTGAGTGCAAGTGAGTACCGTCCCCTCCACTTTGTTGCCCACCATGTGCTGGGCTGCAGGGCCCTGCGGACCCCAGCGCCCGCCACGGTTCCTGCCACGGAGAAGTAGATTCCTGCTCCCCAAGCTGTCCCTTGGGGCCCCCGCCTTCCCTAGAACTCCTTCTGGGCCTCCACTTCCCACTAGCCCTGCCGTTCCCTAGATGGCAGCACAGTGGGGGCTGGAGCCCGGCACGGCATTCTAGGTGTCCTGTGACCTGGAGCAGTGGTTCCCCCTGAGACCCAGTTGCTCCATCGTGACAACGGGGATCATAACCGTCTACAGAACGGTCAATGTAACGTGAGATAATGTATATAAAGTCCCTAAGACCAATGATTTTCAAACCCTCTTGACCATAACCCATGGTAGGAAATACATTCTCTGTCGTGGCTTCATCATAATATTAGGGCCTGGTCATCATCGCTATAATAACACTAATAAGGACTCCTCTGTGGCCTTGCTGAGTCAGGTACTGTGCCAGGTACGCTCTGTGTGTGTGTCACATAATGCTCGGAGCGGCCGCAAGGTTGGCGTTACCTCCGTTTTCCAGGTGAGGACACGGAGACACGGGGTTCCATGATGTGCTGAAAGTGACACAACTAGTAATCAGGGCCCAGTTGTAAACCCGGCGTCCATATTCTTACTACCATGCTAGGATGGTGTCACGATCACCTTTCTGCAGCACACACGTGTACGTTATATGGACATATGTCACAGAATTGGAACGAGAAGTACGTTTGTGCTATTACCATATATATAGGCTGGGGGTTTTTTGTTTTTTGTTTTTAAGTAATCTATACACCCAACACGGGGCTCGAACTCTTGACCTCAGATCAAGAGACACATGTTCTTATGGCTGAGCCAGCCAGGTACCCCTGTTTTGTTTTTTTATTTCTTATTTTTTTAAGATTTTATTTATTTATTTGACAGAGAGCAGGAATACAAGTAGGAGGAGTGAGAGAGAGAGAAGCAGACTCCCCACCGAGCAGGAAGCCTGACACGGGGCTCCATCCCAGGACCCTGGGATCATGACCTGAGCAGAAGGCAGATGCTTAACGACTGAGCCACCCAAGCACCCCTGTTCTTTTTTTTTTAAATGCTGGTTATTACCCCAGAAATTAATCTCACAAGTCCCTAATGAGCCATGACCTGCTGTTTAAATACTGCCTTGTGCATGTGATGGTCAGCACCCTAAGTGTTGTTGATGACTCCGGGATCTTCCTCTCCTCCCATCTGGCCCTTCACAGGCCCTGTCTTGTGCTCTGAGACCCTGCCTCGGACTCATGGTCTGAGATTTTCTTTGCCTGCCATCATCTTTGCTTTGCAAATCTCTGCTCACGCTCCCCCTGGGCCTGGTGCTGGGCAGTCCTCACACAGAGACCTAGGATAGTGAGGACCTGGCCAATAATAAGGGCACAGTCTGGAAAGGAGAGACACCCTAAGAAAACAGTGACTGGGACAGCGTAGTTGGTGGGCCACCAGTTGGTGGGCTCACTGTGCCTGGGGGCCTGTGACAGCCGCAGGGAGGGTAGAGACTTGAAGTCAGTAGGCGGACACGGCAGAGGCAGTGGAGGAGTGTGTGCCGGACATGAGCACTGGAGTACTGAGAATCAGTCCTTTGTGGCTGGGGAAGGGCAAGGCAGGACGGGGAGGGCTTCCAGTAACTAGACTTTATCCTGGAGGCCGTAGGGAGCCAGCGAAGATGTAAAGCAGGAGAGAAGCCCCTGGCTGCTGCGTGGGGGGCAGACCAGGTGAGATTCAAGGCCAGTTAGGAGACCAGGCAAGAGATGGTGATGGAATTGAGCCAAGGCAGTGGCAATGGGGATGGAGAAGCAAGGGTGGTTTCGAGGGCAGGTTCTGGAATAAAGTTGGGGGACCAGTTGGGAGAGGGGAGGCTGAGGATTCCGGGCTTTGCAGCTTAGACAGAGGGACCTGACGGGCTCCATATGCTGTGCTGGGGCCGGCCTGGGCGGGAGGAGACATCATGCCTTCTGATTGCTGGTGTTGTCCTCCAGCTTCCGGGCCTACCCTTCCTGCCTCCTCTTCCCCTGATGTGCAGATTTGTCATATGGCTGTCATCGGGCTCTTTCCCGCCCATCTGTGCTGGAGTATGGCTTACGTAAGCTTGAATGACACACTTTGGGAGTAAAAGGCAAAACGGCCCTTCCCAGCTTAAGTGCTGGCAGAGTGACTGCTTCTGAAACCAGTTTGGTGTGGGCTCTTCTCCGGCGTTGACCTACCCAGAGTGAAACATTTATAAGCTCCTTTCAGAACTGCAGGGTCCAGCCTTTTGCAGTTCTGCTGCTATTTCACTTTTTGACTCTGACAAGTTTATACGTTCACCACTCGCTCCGGAGTCCCTCTGGGCACTGGGCGCCCGGCGCCATCCTGAGCACGCCAGCCCTGCCCACGGGGGCTCCCAGTCAGGGTGGGGAACGCCCGTCTCTGTTCCTGCAGCACCCCCCTCCACCCATACTAAGTAGATGAACTAAGACCCTCGCAAACTGAAGAGGCGCCAAGAGCCAGCCTCAGGAACTAGCCCGAGGCCCGGGACGTGTTGCTGTTCCCTTCCACGAGCGCCAGGGCTGCCCTCCAGCTGGTTTTCATCCTCCTGCTTTGCAGAAAATGGAAAAGAACCCTTGTTCTTTAATTTAACAGTTGGTCTCTTTTTTTTAAAAAGGCCTCGAATTAAAAATAAAAAATAAAAAGACCTCGAGTTGGCACACTGACAGGAGGGGTCAAAGGGAAACAAGGTCACAGTTCCTGCTTCCATGGACAGGTAGCCGTTCCCGAAGTAGGAACGAATCCTTGTCTAACCTCAGTGTAGAAGGCGTTTCTCAGCGGAGGGGAGGGTGTGCTCATTGGTGCTCTGGCCTCAGACAATGGGTAACTTCATCCCCCAGACCCCTGCTGGGGAAGATAGCTTCGTGACCGGGCCAGCTGGTGCGGGCAGAAGGGCAGTGTAGCTTTCCCAGGGCCTGAGCGACTCGGGCTAGGATGTCAGGTGCCCAGAGGAGAGAGCCAAGGCCACGGTACCAGGCCCCAGACGGCGGATGGCTAGCTGGGGGCGCTTGCGGCCGGGTAGTGTCCCAGCTTGCTGAGTGGGAGTGTCTCTCTAGTCTTGACCTGTCCCATCGGAGGGTGGGCTCTTCCAGTTCCCATTTTCCCTTAGGAGATAACTGAGATTATATAAGTACCCCATGTCCGGTCAGACTCTCAGCTTTGGCATCTCTTTATGATTCTTGCCTAAAACAATTAGGATTTTTTTTAAGCTCCCCAGGGGAGGGGCACTGGGTGATTCCGTCAACTCTTGATCTCAGGGTCGTGAGTTTAAGCCCCACAATGGGCTCCACGTTGGGTGTGGAGCCTACTTAAAAGATAAATAAATAGGGGCGCCTGGGTGGCTCAGTCGTTAAGCTGTTGCCTTCAGCTCAGGTCATGATCCCCAGGTCCTGGGATCAAGCCCCACATCACATCGGGCTCCCTGCTCAGCAGGAAGCCTGCTTCTCCCTCTACCTCTCCCCCCTGCTTGTGTTCCCTCTCTCAGTGCCTCTCTCTGTCAAATAAATAAAATCTTAAAATTAATTAATTAATTGGTTAAATGCCAGCTCCCCCAGAGGTTCTGATGTGCAGTGAGGTTTAAGAGCCACTCCATCACTGTCTCACAGGGTATGGCTTAGTACCTGCAGCATAAAACTGTGTTCTGCAGGCAGGTGCGGCAAGCGATGGTCAGACTCAAAGTTCCCTTTGGTCTCCTGGCTTTTACTCTGCAGCTGTCCTGGTGCCTGACTGCCCCATGTCCCCGGGGCTTACAAGCCTGCGGCAGCTCTAAGCGCCCCCCTGCATTCCGTGCCCTCCACGCCGAGCTGTGCTGCAGGCATCCCGCTCCAGGCTGCCAGGCTCCCTCTGCCAGGGCTGCCCCCCCCCCCCCCCCCCCCGGCCCCTGCCCGGTGAGCTCCACAGGAGCCTGGGACAGCCCCTGGCCCACCTGCGAGGCGGGGCCTCCCTCCTGCCCAGTGAAGGCCTTCAGAACCTCGGGGGAATTACTAAAGGTGGACCAGAAGAAGAGCCGTGGGGGAGAATACATGCCCCCAGATGGAGTCTGGGCTGCTTATTCCTACTGAAATGTTCCCTGGGGGAGAGTCCTCAACATCTAGGATAAAGAAAAAACCTTCCTCCAGCGGGGACCGTGTTCACTTCCGCGGGATTGCCTGGCCCAGCCACCCCGGAAGCCCGGAAAGGAGCTGCAGAGGTTTTCTGGGCTGCAGCCTTTCAGAGACCTGTCCCTTCCACCTCCAGCCCCGCTCCCAGCCCAGAGAGCTCCCCCCGGTCATCTGGAGTCTGGAGCATGTTCTTTTCCTTGTCACAGCTTGGGTGGAGCCCAGGCTTCAGCTTCTACCCTCTGACTCCGCAGGCTGCTGGGGGCGGCCAGCACGGCTCCTTCCCACTGTCAGGTGCGGCGCTCTGCTGTGCTCTCTGCTCTGGGGTCCTCCAGGGGTCTGGTGGGGCTGCCTCTTACTACCTTGTCAGTTCGTTTATGCTCTTAAAATGTAAACACGGGGGGCACCTGGGTGGCTCAGTGGGTTAAAGCCTCTGCCTTCGGCTCAGGGTCCTGGGATCGAGCCCCACATCGGGTTCTCTGCTTAGCAGGGAACCTGCTTCCTCCTCTCTCCCTCTGCCTGCCTCTCTGCCTACTTGTGATCTCTGTCAAATAAATAAATAAAATCTAAAAAAAAAAAAAAAATGTGAACACGGGAGCGCCCAGTGGGCGCAGTCGGTAGAGCATGCAACTCTTGATCTTGGGGTTATGGGTTCAAGTCCCCCATTGAGTGTAGAGATTACTTAAAAATAAAGTCATAGATATAATATCCTAAATAAATAAATATCATAAATAAGTAAAGTAAAAATAAATAGAAAAACAGGAAGGAAGTCTGCGCTTGTGCTCCATCCTCTTCTCTCCCTTCTCCCCTGCCAGCATCCTCCGGAAAGCTCTAGATAAGATAGCAGAAATCAAGTCTCTGTTGGAAGAAAGGCGGATTGGTGAGTTGGAGGGCAGCGTGGCGCTTCTTGATCAGGCGGAGTGAGGCTTCCTGAGAGCTGGGGTCGTGGCTCCCCGTAGGAGTGGGGAGCTGCTGCCTCAGCCCCTTGTTGATCCACAGACTTCTGACGGGGGCACGCATCTGGGCAGCCTGGGTCTGGGAGGCAGCGGAGGTTGCGGCTCGTGCTCAGAGGCAGGGGCTCCCAGTGTCCCTGCCCTGGAAGGTCTCACTGCGCCCCCTCATGCTTCTCTGCCCCTTGTGCCTGGGGCAGTTGCCTCCTTCCTGCTACGCGCCCCCCCTTCCCCGTTGCCGCGGGAGCGCCAGCTGCTTTGGGAGAGCCGTCCTTCAACACGGAGCTTACACAGGGTGTTGGCTTCCAAATCCCTTTAAACCGCTGTGGCTCTCCCATCTCTTACCCTTTCAATGACCCCTCCGTGGGCACACGGCTTGCCCGTAGACAGGTCCCACCACCAGCCGGGTTTTTGCGAGGTTGACTGGGGGTGTTGAGCCATGCTTGAGGTCAGGAGTCTGTCTGCGTTTGAAAGTTCTTTTTAGTTTTTTGTCTAATGACAACACGTACTTCTAGTAGAAAAGTACACATAAGTATACAGACGGCTCTATGAAATGTTTGCTAACCGAACAAATGGCGTGCCAGCACCCCAGAACCTTTTTTCTGCCCTGTAGTTCGTCACCCTGAGGGGATCCGCTGATCTGACCTCTCACAGTTCTGTGAAAGCAGCACACTGGGCCCTGGGCGGTCACTCGGGAGGCGGGCTCCAGGCCAGGCTCCGCTGACCACTCCGTGCAGCTGTGCAACTGGGGGTCTGGGGTAGGAGCCCTGTCTCTCGTGCCTCAGGGGCGCGCTTCCTTCCCACAGCGGCCAAGATCGCGGGCCTGTACAACGACTCGGAGCCCCCTCGGAAGACTATGCGCCGGGGGGTGCTGATGACCCTGCTGCAGCAGTCGGCCATGACCCTGCCCCTGTGGATCGGGAAGCCTGGTGACAAGTGAGGGCAGGCCTGAGCCGGCGGTGGGGGGGGGGGGGGCGGGGAGCGGACCGGAGGGAAGGGCTGGGACTAATGCCTTACTCCAACCCCTAGGCCCCCACCCCTCTGTGGAGCCATTCCAGCCTCTGGGGACTACGTGGCCAAGCCCGGAGACAAGGTGGCCGCCCGGGTAAAGGCTGTGGATGGGGATGAGCAGTGGATCCTGGCTGAGGTGGTCAGTTACAGCCATGCCACCAACAAGTGAGTGGACACCCAGCCCTCAGTCCGCTATCCCGTTACACCTGCACTGGCTGGCCCTCTGCCCCATCTGCAGGCTGGGCCCAGAGCCTCCCCCAAAGTGTCTGTGGGGACGGGGGCGGGGCTGTGTATGACTCTGGCTCCCTGGGCTGCTTCCCCTCCCCATGCCCCACGCTCCCCTCCTCGTCGCTCCCCAGTTTGGACCGCGTGTCTCCCTGCATCCACTGTTCTTTGTTCTCCAGATACGAGGTGGATGACATTGATGAAGAAGGCAAAGAGTGAGTGTGCTGGTCAGGGAGGGAAGTGGAGGCGGCTGGGAAGCAGCCCCCCTCTGGCCGTGGGTTGACCTGAGCCCCCCCTTCCAGGAGACACACCCTGAGCCGACGGCGTATCATCCCGCTGCCCCAGTGGAAAGCCAACCCAGAGACGGACCCGGAGGCCTTGTTTCAGAAGGAGCAGCTTGTGCTGGCCCTGTACCCCCAGACCACCTGCTTCTACCGTGCCCTGATCCACACGCCCCCACAGCGGGTAAGGTAGTCCCCAAGGGAGGGACAGACCATGACGCCGGGACTGGCCAGAACAGATGGGTCATGGGGTCACCTGCCACCTTCTTCCTCTCCTGCCCTCATCTTCCAGCCTCTCTGAGCTGGGAGAGTCCTATATGTTGCCCTGTCTCTCCTGCTTACACTCTGCCTGCAGGCGCCCTCCAGCCCTGTCCCCTAGGGAAGTGCCAGCCAGCCCCCCTCCCACCTTCAGAGCCCTAGCCAGCCCCACATGGAATGGGAGGCTGTGTTCCCTCTGATCTCACTTTTGCACTGAGGTAGGCAGCACCACACCCAGGGCCTGCCCTCCAACCTTGACTGTCTCACCCCTGCCCTTTCTTCATGTGAGGTTGTGCTTGCCTGTGCTGGTGACCCATTGCCTGATGGCAGGTTCAAGGCTGTTCTCCCCTCCGCCTCCATGTGCCCTGCCTGCTGCCTTCTGGGTTTTCCTTGATCCCTTTAACACAGGGTCTCCCAAAAGCACCAGATTCTCCATGTAGTATCCCCCCACATGTACAGCAAGTCTCCCCCCTCCGTGCTCTTTGTTGCTGAGAAAAGGGCTGTGTTGTAGCAGGACTAGGTTTGGAGTGAAGGTGGGGACAGGAGAGGCAGGAACCCCGTGTATCAGCAGTTCCTGTCAGTCTGGGTTGGGGGCCTTGCCTGGGGGTCTCTGACCAGCCCCTCCTGTCCGCCCCCTGCCACAGCCCCAGGATGACTATTCAGTCCTGTTTGAAGACACCTCCTATGCAGACGGTTACTCCCCTCCCCTCAATGTGGCCCAGAGGTACGTGGTGGCTTGTAAGGAGCCCAAGAAGAAGTGAAGCGGGCCGGCAGAATCCCAGTCTCCCACCACCCTCACAGAGGAATGCAGCAGCAGATTTCATGGCAAATAAATATTGTTCCCCTTTGCCCATGTCTCCTTGGTTTTGTTTTTCCAGGCTCTTCTCCCCTTCCCCATAACAGGGCAGGTTGGGGAATTGGAGGCTATGGGCGAGATGGATTTGTTTGGTCCTAGTGGGCATTTCTTTTTTGTTCTTGGCTTGCATTAAAGGCTCTTGGTGTAATACACATGGAATTTTATTTTTGAGGCTGGGGACGGGTCACAGCCACGGGGCCTTGGGCGTGCCTCCCAGGGACACCACTCATAACTCTGTGCGGAAGCTGAGGCCACAGCCTTCCATCTTCCTGGCATAGTCAGCATCAAAGCGCTCATTCTGGGCCACAGTGAAGGTGGTCTTCCAGTCCCCCGTGATGCCTGCAGACAGAGGGGAGGACGGCTATAGGCCCCAGCTGCAGAGCAGGCCCAGGGTGGCTCAGGCCAGCCCCAGCCTCCACTTCCACGCTTGCCTGCCCCGATGCCTGTCCTGCACAGGCACTCACCTTTCCTCATGAAGGCCGAAATGCTGTGGTCCATGATGTCAGTGGGTATGGTGCTGTAGTTAGCCATGGAGTTTTTCTTCATCTCCTTGAAAGACGTTTGTTGGACAATGAGATCCACGGTCTCCTCTGGCAGGGAGCGCCCCAAGAACTTCAGGATCTTCTGAATCTCCCTCTTGGGGTTCTGGAGAGCAGAGGGGCTCTTCAGTGGCAGCTGGGATGGCTCACTGAGCAAATAAAAGGGAGGGTCCCCAACTCCTCCAGGACCTGGCCACCTCCGCCTAGAGACCTCTCAGCCCCGGCTCCTTGACTTGGGTCCTCTTTCCCTGGGGCACATTAGCTGCCCCTGCCCTATGACCCTGAACTAAGCTCCTATTTGGGTCTTGATGGGTGAGGGCAGGACGGTCCTCTTTCATAACTGGCCACAGGGAATGCCGGCGGATGGCTGGCTCTGTGTTGCTTGGGTCTGAGATCAGAGCTATATAGCCTTGCTGCCTGGGTGACACTGCAGCTCCAAGTCCCTGGCAGGAAGGTGGGCTGGAGGACCCACGGGACTGGTGGGGTAGGGGGTGCTGGGGGACAGGCGGCCGAAAGGGCCTTGGCAGGTCCTGGGGAGGTCCCTGCCTCTGCACGTGTGACCTGGAGGGAAGCAGCAGCAGGTGGCCTCACCTCTTTCATGTCCTCATAGAAGAGGTAGAGAACAGGGTGAGTGTGACTCAGCTCCCACCACTCCCGCACGTGCTGGTACCAGGACCCGTAGGACACTGGGGGGGAGGGGCAGGGACATGGACACACAGGCTGGTATTAGCTTTGGCTGGCGGCCGCTCAGCTCCTCCCCGCTCCTTCCTCCAGACTCAGGCCCACCTTCCCCAGCCATGAACTTCTCCAGGAAGCAGTCCCAGGTGCCAGGGTCTGGGTGCACCTTGGCCATGCGGTAGAAGTGGTAAAAGGAGACAGCCACATCCTTTGCGTTGCGGGCCACGTAGACCACCTGGAGGGACGAATGACCCCCCCACACACACCGGAGCATCATCACCACACAGCGAGCCTTTCACAACAGCCCAGTGAGGGAAGTTCGCTCTTGGTCTGGCCAAGAGGGACATTGACCTGGATGCTGACTTGCTTGTGGTCCCTGACACCATACTTGATGCTAATCTTGTCCCCTCAGTGCTGCCACACACAGACTGGGTATGCTGGGTTCTCACCAGCCCCCTCCTCCATGGGCCTGGGGAGGCCTGGGGAGGCCTGGGGAGGCCTGCAGAGAAGACTTCTCTGCTCTGCACAGGAGTCTCCCTTGCACAGAGCCCCACCACAGCATGAAGACCACCACCTGGCCCCTTCAGGTGAGACCTTCCCAGCAGAAAAGGCTAAAGCTGGGAAGGCCCCAGTGACCTCCTTCCCTGGCTTCCTCTGTCACTCACCTTGACCTTCTGATCCAGCAAGGTCTGAGGGAGCAGAGCCAAGGGCAGGTGTGTCTTAATGAGTCGTGGAGCCGGTGTATCTTTCAGAGCCTCCAAACCTATACCACGAGGAGGGAAAGGTCTGCTGAGCTGGAGCCCAGTCCTGCCCCCTCCCTCTGCTCCCCTGGTCCCCAGAGCCCCCACTGCAAACCTGTGGGAACACCTGGAGCCTTGAACTCAAGGAAGGGTACCCGGATTAAGATGGAGGCCCTGCGACACTTCTGTAGATCACCGCCCTGGTAGATCATGTCGAGGATCTCACTCACCCAGGTGGTGCCTGGAGAGCAGGGGAAGGGGAGGTGAGCCGGGTGAAGGGCAGGTCCTCGCTGGTCCAATGTGGGGGACTATGGCCCTCACCACCTACCAGATTTGGGGTAGGTGCTGATAAGCAGGTCATCAGGCCGGGCTTGGAAGTCCTGCAGGGAGCCCAGGGCCTCTGCAAAGTACTTGATGAGAGGGATTCCCTTCACATATGCCAGCGGCGGGCGTGAGGTGTCTTGGATGAGCTCCATTCCACGGCGTCGGGGGCAGAGGGCAGCCGACTTGCCTTAACAACATCACGACACGCCATGTGTTGAAATCCTGCTTCACGAGGAAGGCCTGGGGCTGACTCGGCCCTGCTCACAAAGCTGATGAGTGGCAGGAGCTGGGGCTCAAACCCACACCGAACACTCACACAGTGGGGCTGGTGCTGGCTCGTGCCTTTGCTGTCCTGCAGGGCTCGTAAAGATCCCCATGCCTGAGGTCACATCCCACATCAATGACATCGCTCTCTGGGGCCCGTCCCAGTCTTCTGGAAGCTCCAAGGGATTCCAGTGCACTCTTGAGAGCTACTACTCTAGTGCCTGCCTGTCCTAATTCCTCGCCTGCCAGCTCTCCTCCCACTACTTCTGCAGCGGCCCCTGGCCTGCGGCACTGGCCCCACTCCCCCTGCCGGTCCTTGGAGCAGCCTGGGCCCCTCATGCATCGTCAAAAACATTCCAGAAGCCAAACCACGCCATCTTGGCTCGGGGATAAACACAGCCAGTGAGCAACTTGAGCCTGTTTTGGGGGGCCAGAGTCTGGCATGCAGCTGAGCTAAGTGATGGGTCAGCAGAAAGGGGAAGGGGGTTTCTTTCGGCCTGAGGTCGTGTCGGCTGACTGAGATGGCCCATCCAGAGGGAAAGGGCCAGGAGCTAGCCCTGCCCAGCCGCCCCACCGGGAGAACTCACCAGACCTCTCTGGATGTCGGTCCTGTGACCACTTTGTGCCGTGGCAAACCGGGTGCCGTGGGGTGGGGTGGGTTCAGAACTGTTCTCTGAGCTGAAGGGTTTATAAATTCCAAGTGGGAGGGATCTGGAGCCAGTCTCCAGGAAGGAAAGGGTGGAGCTTAGAGTGGGAGGGCCCCCTGTGCTGCCCCCGCCTTTGCACCCCAGCAGGAGCCAAGTTTAAATGGACCTGAAAACCCAAGATGTGGGTTTAGTGTGTAGAAAATAAAGGGAAGACTGAAATTAGACAAAAGTTTTCACTTTTATTCTGCGGGGTGTTTTGGAGCTGGAATCTTGGCTCTGACCTGCCCTCTGTACTCCACCCCGGTGTGGCGGGCCAACGAACAGCTTGTCCTGATGGCCCCAGCCAGTTTAGAGGGGGCAGACCTGAGAGGAAAGGTGAAACCCTTGTGAGCTGGGCCACTCACCTTCCTGTTGGCTCCAGGCCAGTCTTGCAGATGCCAGAGGTTCAGGCTAGGAGTGGCCCCCAGGCACCCCCCAGCAGCACAAGCTTTCCAGAACTGCTGGTCTGACCTCTGACCACAAGGCCAGTACAGAGCAATGGGGGGGAGGGGTAAAGGTGCAGGGATGGGGGCAGGGTGATAGGGGTTGGGGTGGAGCGGAGACGGGACGGGCTTTCTGAGGTAAGAGGGAGAGAAAAGAGCAAGAACAAGAGTCTCATAACCCTGGGACTGAGGCCAGCTGCACACACAGCTCCCAAGGATTTCAGAGCCATGGGCCCCACAAGGTGCTTTTCTTTCACTGGTTTTGAAGGGGCTTTGTAGACAGAGACAAGAAGGAACTGGGGCTTGGAGAGCCACAGGGCCCCATGGGGTAGTGTATCCCCCCACCCACCCCACTCATGGCCTTTGTCCATACTATCTGGATTAAAAGTCAACCTGGACACTGAATTTGGACAGGCTCTGAATCAAGGGTGTGAGTCTCCCAAGCATTCAAAGAATTGTGTGAGGGGCACCTGGGTGGCTTAGTCATTGGGCATCTGCCTTAGACTCAAGTCATGATCCCAGGGTCCTGGGACTGAGCCCCACATCGGGCTCCCTGCTCAGTGGGAGGCCTGCTTCTCCCTCTCCCACTCCCCCTGCTTGTGTTCCTTCTCTCACTGTCTCTGTTAAATAAATAAATAAAATCTTAAAAAAAAAAAAAGAATTGTGACCTCAGAAGCATGTGAAGGAAAAGCCAAGGCACATGGGGCCTCCAGAAAGGGGAGAGGCTGGTCCACACAAGCGAGCGGGCCCTCCCCACTCTGCTCTTCTCCTCAGGCCCCAGGGACTGGCAGGGCCTCTGTCTCCTAGCTCCAGCAACCCCCTTCCCTGGCAAACAACAGAAAGTTCCCTTAACTCAGACTCTTTATTGTACTCAAGTAAAAAGTGCCCAGACAGAGACAAGAAGTGGGCAGAGGGTTAGGGGGCGCCGAGGATCAGGTCTCCAGCATGTCTGTCCAGTGTTCCTGTGGAGACAGGAGGACTGGTCAAAGGCAGCCTCGGATATGGGGTGGGGTAGGGAGGCTGGGGCCAAAGTCACCTCTCACCTCTTCTAATTCCAAGTCCTCCTCTTCCTCCTCGGTGCCCACCTGGCACAGCCAGATCAGGTCTCCCCACAGCAGTGAGTTCTTACAGCTACCAAGGAGTGCAGTTGGTAGGACACAGAGTCAGACTCACAAGCCTCCTGCAGGCTAGGTCCTTGGGGGCCGAGATAAGGACTCAGCTGCCCCGGGGCCTGGACTTGGACAAACTGGCGCCATCTTCCCAGAACTCAACCAGGCTGGGGCGGGGGTGCTGGGACTCACCCAGGGCAC